CCTCCCCCTCCCCCTCCCCCTCCCCACCCAGCCCAAATGCAAATCGCTCATGGAGCAATCAGCATCGTCCATGTGCCAAAGCAAACATGATTGCCAAGAAATTGAGGTTTGCAAGAGCGCTGCGTCTCTGGCTGGTAACATGCGTATGTGGACTGAGGCCGGTTGAGTTGGTGGAGGGCATTCGCCCGGAGCGCAGATTGCTATGGAAGGCTATGCAAGGCTATGCTGCAGCGAAAATCCAACCCTTCAAGATGATTGACAAGCTTCCAGTTATTGGGCAACATGTGACTCAAATCTTCCCCAGTTCTGTTTTCTTTATGATTCCGCGCACCCCGTTTCCGTCCTCTCAAGGGCTATCAGATCTATCAGCAAGTAGAAGGAGTGGAAAAGCCACATGGTCCGCTCAGCTGCAGCACACATCCGTACATGACTCTGAGGCAGGTACATAGATAGGAGAATCAGGAAAGTGATGCTTCACCTCAGCTGCTTTGCAGTGATGCAGCGGTGACGTCCCGAATCTATCAGATTGAACCTTTGGATCGAGCTGCCTGCCGAACTTGATGAATTACGGCAGCTGGATCAGCATAGACATGGAGGTAGAAACCAAACTTTGAAGATGGCCTCGGTAGTTTGCAGAGTTGCTAATAGCTGTTAGAGTCGCCTCGAGCTGAGCCATTCCCTTCGATTTCGCCTCTCTGGGTTCACACCGGGACTGCTTCGGATGTAGCAAATTGCTGCAGCTGTGGGATGCCGAGTGCAAGCCAAGCCACAGAGGCCCCTCTGCTGGTCCCGCCACATTCGGCGGGAGCGCTTCAATTGGCAGAGCTTCAGCTTGCTGGATTTCAGCTAGCTGAGCTTCGGCCAATTCAACGTCAGCAGGTGGAGCAGGCGTCCAAGCGTTGAAACTGCAGGGCTAGACTGAAGCATGCTGCCAAGTAATGACGACGTGGACCGGATTATCTGTCAGCAATCGATTGACATGCGTTTCAGATCATGTTTTAATTGTACGGTGCAGTGTGCCGCCTCTCCGCTCGGCGCATTGAGTGATCGAGCGCCGCGCTGGCAGCAGTGACCGCCCCCGAGACAGAGGCGTAAGCACTGGGCATCCAAAGGCAAGCAGACTGGAGCATGGCTGGCAATGACTTGCTCCCTCTACCAACTTTGGGTTGCATTTCCCTGGCAAGGGCGAGAAAGGTTGCAGAGCTCCAAGCACGAGCCTCAACTCGCTGGATGACGTCAGGGCACGCAGATCTCCAAATATGACCACCAGGAACCTGGATCTCATGTGTTGGCTGTCTGCTGTATGCTTGACAGACTTACCAACGACTACCATCGAAGGTTCTATGTTGGCGGCAAGGTGCATGGCGGCAAGAGCGGCGAGAAATTTGGCCTTACTGGCGCAATCATGAAGCTGCATGAAATGACATTGCTGCATGAGGGCGCAGGAGAAGACCTCAACAGCATTCTGTTGGAAAGCGGAAGCCCAGGCAAGGTGCGACTGCCCATGGCTGTGAGGATCGCTTTGCCATCGCAGCGCGCAGGAGTCATAGTCTTTTGAGTTCCAAAGTCGGTTCCGACTGCCCAGGATTCTGTGATAGCTTCGCAGGGGGAAGTCCTGCATCTCTGGGTTCAAGCTCTTCAAAGGGCCGTGAGTCAGAGTGGATGTGATATGATGTGATGCTGTGTTGGTGTTGCAAAACGCCAGCAGGACCTGCATCATGCACAAGGCTGTTGACGCACCGTCTCAGCAAACCCTCCGGTTGCACACGTCTTTTCGGTGCAGAAGCATTGTCGGCTTTGGCTTTGACCGAGCTGCGCATCTGCACAAAATGCCTCGCCAGTCGCGGAGACCAGGCATGGTCAACGCACGCCAAAGATTGGGATTGCTCTGTGCATCTCGCGCAAGCATAGAACGTGCCCTTATTTCTCTCACTTTCTCTAGCTTTGCACACTTTTCCAGCGATCAGTGGTCACATCAACGCGTCAGCAAGTAGCAGGCAGATGCAAATCAAAGCCTCAGGGCCATGGACTTCACTTCTTCGCTTGCTCCAAGTTCTCAAGGGCGTGGACCGCTGCCTCAAACCCACAAGCAGAATATACTTACAATTTCTTCCCTCAAGGCTGAGAAAACCTATCACTTTCCGCGGGTCCTCCGGGTGAGCCATGGTCAACTCCGAGAGCTTCTGCCTTGGTTGAACAAACTCAGAAAGTGGGCACCTAAATCGACGCACATGACTGAAGCGCACAGGTGCTGACGTGCCTCTGCGTCCAGGATTGAAGTGTCTAATTGGATACAAGAAATTGAATCTCAAGCAAAGTTTTTGACCAGGCACATGAACATGCCACCATCATGGAGCCGGCCATCCATGGTGGTCTGGGTAGCCTTGTGGAGCTGTCTTCGCCCGATGCAACTAAAATGCTTAGGGTTTTACAGCTTCCCCAACACGACTTTTCTTGCGCTACATGTAGCCTTAGTAGAGCTCCCTTGCAAAAGTCTGGTGCGAGGAGAGGATGCCCGCTGCTCTGCTTACGATACACTACTCAGCCAATGTGCGATGACTCTACGTTTTGCGTTGAAGCTTTCCTGCGAAGCTAACACTGCGCTTTTTAGATTGCACTACACGAGCAACAGAAGCGAGGCATGCTGAGGCGGGCCTATGCCCGACCTTTTCGACAATGTCTTGGTTTAAACCGAGACTTTGTCATATGAGATGCCCTCTATCATGTTGCATCAAAGTGAAATGCTTCCTTATGGCAACAGCATCTCAGACGTGTCTCAGCAGCTGGCCTGTAGGTGCTTGTCAGCCGATTCAAGGCGGGCATGGTAAGTCTTCATGGTCTCCAAGGTCTCCTTCAGAACCTGCAAGTGGCTGCAAGCGACTGTTGTCTGTGGCAGTGCTCCGCAAAGCTACAAAACAAACAAAAAGCATGTAACTTCCCTGTCGAACCTTCTGCTGGTTGAGGAGAGCCTTGTGCCTTCGCACCTGAGGTAAGAGACACAGCATTGAGGCATGCACAGGTACAAGTAGCTTCGTGTCCTGATCCTGGTGGCTGCTTTTTGTCCACATGTTCAAGACTGACTGAAAAAAAGTCAGAATCCTAAACTGGACTTGCGCCACGAAGCCGGTGATGTGATCACGGCTGGAAAATATCTCCGCTTGGGAAGAACCGCCCGGCACTGCCGTTCTAGAGTCTGCCAGAGTCACTCTGACCCCCGTCTCTAGGGCACAACCCGCAGCTTCGCTTCGCGCTTTGCCAGCGAGTACAGTGAAAACTGTACATCGGGCAAGTGCTTAATCGCCTTGGGCCTAAGACCTTTCCTGCAGCAGCGTGGCATGAGGAACTGGCTTTAGGAGAGCTTGCTTCGTTCTCAACCTTCTAGACGAACCGGAAGCGGAAAGAGGCAGGCAGCATTCACGGCAAGTAGGCAAATGCCACACAGCCTGCATGAGACATTGATTGTGTGGACATTGCCAGTCACGTCTGGATGATAGTAGGGATGATGATGATGATGATGATGCTGCTGCTGCTGCTGCTGCTGGTGGGGGGGGTGGTGGTGGT